TGGGAATGGGGGCACCAGCTCGAGGCCTGGCTGGAAATGAACCCGGGATATGGGAATATCGGGAATATCAGGAATATGGGAATGGGAATGGGAATGAGGGCACCAGCTTGAGGCCTGGCTGGAGATGAACCCGGGGTATGGGAATATTGGGAATGGGAATGTGGGACTGGGAATGGGAATGGGGGGCTGGGAATGGGAATGAGGGAATGGGAATGGGGGCACTGAGAATGGGAATGCCGGGCTGGGAGTGGGAATGGGGGGCTGGGAATTGGAATGGGGGGCTGGGAATGGGAATGAGGGCACCAGGAATGGGAATGGGAGTGGGGGAATGGAAATGGGAATGAGGGCACCAGGAATGCTGGAGATGGGAAAGGGAATGCAGGGCTGGGAATGCCGGAGAGGGGAACGCTGGGAGCTGGGTGGGAAATGAGGGGCTGGGAATGGGAATGGGAATGAGGAGCTGGGAATGCCGGTCCCAGCAGGGAAGGGGAGGCCGGGAATGCCCAGAAAGCTGGGAATGGCACTTGGGATTCCCTGTTCCCGCAGGTACGAGGTGGCCCCGCGCTCCGACAGCGAGGAGAGCGGATCCGAGGAGGAGGAGGAGGTGAGGGGACGTTCCCAAGGGGACATTCCCACTGGGAATGCTCGGGAAGGAGCTGAGCTCAGCAACAGCTGGTTGGCAGCTCAAAAAAAACGGGATTGGGGGGATAAAGTGGATTAAAATGGGAAAAATAGTGGGGTAAAATGGGATTGAACTGTGGGATAAAGTGGGATGGAACTCTGGGATAAAGTGGGATGGAACTGTGGGATAAAATGGGATAAAAATGAATGAAATAGTGTAAAAAATGGGAAAAAAGGTGTGAAAAAGGGGGTGCACTGGGATATAAAACTGGAAGGAAAAAGTGGGATAAAATGGGATAAAAATGGGATAAAAATTGATAAAATGGGATAAAAATGAATAAAATAACATTAAAAAAAATGGGAAAAAGGTGTGAAAAAGGGGGTGAACTGGGATATAAAACTGGAAGGAAAAAGTGGGATAAAATGGGATAAAAATGGATAAAATGGGATAAAAATGAATAAAATAACATTAAAAAATGGGAAAAAAGTGTGAAAAAGGGGGTGAACTGGGATATAAAACTGGAAGGGAACAGTGGGATAAAATGGGATAAAAATGAATAAAATAATGTAAAAAAATGGGGAAAAAGGTGTGAAAAACAGGGATATAAAACTGGAAGGGAACAGTGGGATAAAATGGGATAAAAATGAATAAAATAACATAAAAAATGGGGAAAAAAAGGACAAAAAGGAGGTGAATTGGGATCTAAAACTGGAAGGGAAGAGTGGGATAAAATGGGATAAAGATGGATAAAATGGGATAAAAATGAATAAAATAATGTAAAAAAATGGGGAAAAAGGTGTGAAAAACAGGGATATAGAACTGGAAGGGAACAGTGGGATAAAACTGGCTCCTCGTGCTGAGATTTTCGGGAATGTCCCCCAGGAGCTCCCGGTTCCCATCCCCGATATTCCCGAGGCGGCTCTTTGGCCATTCCAAGTGGGGAAAAGTGGGATCCCAGGGCAGGAGGGTGATTTTCCCTGGGCATTCCCGGCATTCCCGGAATTCCTGTGGCGCAGGAGGAGGAGGAGGAGCAGCCCCAGCCGGCGCAGCCGACGCTTCCCGTGGAGGAGAAGAAGAAGATTCCGGATCCCGACAGCGACGACGTGTCGGAAGTGGACGCCCGGCACATCATCGAGTGAGGATTCCCTTCCCTTCCTTCCCTATCCCGGTTTTCTTGCTCCGCATTCCCAACCCTTTCTCTGCATCCCACGGGCAGCGTTCCCTCCCAGCCCGGCTTTTCCTGAATATTCCCAAAATAAGCCCCGACTTAGGGAAATCCGTTGGGAAAACCACCCGTGGGGATGAGGGCGCTTCTCTCAACGGGATCATCCCGATGGGAATTCCTTCACCGGGATCATCCCAATGGGAATTCCTTCACCGGGATCATCCCAATGGGAATTCTCTCACCGGGATCATCCCAGCAGGAATTTCCTCACCGGGATCATCCCAATAGGAATTCCCTCACCAGGATCATCCCAACAAGAATTCACTCAGCGGGATCATCCCAGCAGGAATTCCCTCACTGGGATCATCCCAATGGGAATTCTCTCACCGGGATCATCCCGACAGGAATTCTCTCACTGGGATCATCCCCACAGGAATTTCCTCACCAGGATCATCCCAACAGGAATTCACAGGAATTCCCTCACTGGGATCATCCCAGCGGGAATTCCCTCACTGGGATCATCCAGACAGGAATTCCCTCACTGGGATCATCCTGACAGGAATTCCCCCATCAGGGTCATCCTTCTCACCTCCCTTTCTTCCCGTATTCCCGGTGTTTTCCTGGCAGGAATGCCAAGCAGGACGTGGATGATGAGTACGGGGTGTCTGTCCCTATTTGACCATCTCTGTATCCCGTTTTTTCCCGTTAGGAATGCGAAGCAGGACGTGGATGAGGAGCACGGGGTGTCTGTCCCTATTTGACCATTCCTGACTCCCACATTCCCGATTTTTCCCCCCAGGAATGCGAAGCAGGACGTGGATGACGAGCACGGGGTGTCTGTCTCTCCTTTCTGTCCCTCTGACCTCCCCATTCCCAATGTTTTTTCCCAGGAATGCAAAGCAGGACATGGATGACGAGTACGGGGTGTCTGACCCTCCCTGACCATCCCTGACCCCCGTATCCCGATATTTTTTCCCAGGAACGCCAAGCAGGACGTGGAGGATGAGTACAGGGTTTTTTCTCCATCCCTGATCCCCGTATCCCGGTTTTTCCCCCCAGGAACGCGAAGCAGGACGTGGATGACGAGTACGGGGTGTCTG